AAAAAGAAAAAAAGCCAGAAGTGGCACTGTGGCTCAAGTGGTAGAGCGCTAGCCTTGAGCTGAAGAGCTGAGGGACAGCGCCCAAGCCCAGAGTTCAGGCCCCAGACCGGACCCAAAAACAACAACAACAAAAAAAAAACCAAAAAAACAAAAAAAAAATGAAGTGTGAAAAAGGATGCACTTCTATTGCCTTTCTAAAAATTAAAAAAAAAATCTTAAAAATTGATCCTTGGAAAGTGCAGAAAAGACACTGTAATTTGAGTTTTCTAGAAAAGGTTTACAGGTCTTTGTTAAATTGTTAAAAACCGTTGCTTGTTAAGAACATCATTTCATGCTGAAATAAGGATACAGGTTGACCCATTGTAACAATGAGATGTACAAGACACTATGTTGAAAACAAACTTTACAACTTTGGGGGCCTGGAGGAGTTGGGGAGGTGGGGAGAGAAGGGATGATAGGGGAAAAACAAAGGAGGGGGTAACAATGCTCGATAGGAATGTACTCATCACCTTACTCATGTAACTGTAACCCCTCTCTATACATTATATATATATATTATATATATATACATTATATATATATTAAAAACAAAAAAGAACATCCTTTAAAACATTTTAATGTTCTTTATACATGAACAAGTGATAGAATAACCCTCTGAAAACATTGTCATTCCAAAGACACAATGTTATATTGCCTTTCAATTTATGTTTTATTTACCAGCACAATATAACAATTGTTCACATGCCGGGAAAAAGGCCCTTTGGTCAGAGTCTTGTCTATATATATGACAATGGACAACAGAAGGTCTCTGCCCCTCTCAGATTTCCTGCCATGAATGAAGTAAGTATATTTTACCTATTCCTTACAGATCTAACTGATTGAGGACTCTTGAAAAGTTTAATTTTCTCCTAAATGTATCCCCAAATTTTTACAAATATGTTCTATATACTAAGGCACAGTTGATTAACATTATGATGTCACTCGACATTTCCAAACAAAAGCAATTTGAGAAATAAATGTTAGGAAGGTTAGAAAAAGCCAAAAAAATGAAGGGAGCAGACCAAACTTTTTAATAATAATCTCCAAGTATATGAAGTACTTAAGTGAATGTTATGAACTGTTTTCCACCACCATTAAATTTGAAATGATAAGGAAAAAGCTTTTAAAACTTTCACATGTAGTTAGGCATAAGAATTTATTTATTAGGAAGTTCTCAGTGGACACTGAAAAACACAGCAAATTTTTTGGTTCATTTAATAAAGTATTTTGTGAGGGTATTGGAATACAGTAGGTAATTTCTGAGGTCTGAAGTATTTGAGTAGTTCTTTGCTGTTTCTCATCTTGATAACCATTTCAGAATAATGTGTAGTTGCCATTATATTCATGTGTAATTTTCTGTTTATAACTTTTACAGGGAAAACCAGTTATCTCTATTTTAAATAAAGTTTTAAAGCATTTTTTGTTTGTTTGTTTTGTTTTTTGTCAGTCATGGGGCTTGAGTTTTAGGCCTGGGCACTGTCCCTGAGCTCCTCAGCTCAAGGCTAGTGCTCTAGCACTTGAGTCACAGTGCCACTTCTGGCCTTTTCTGTTTATGTGGTGCTGAGGAATTGAGCCCAGGGCCTCATGCATGTGAGGCAAGCATTCTACGACTGAGTCACCTTCCCAACCCCTTAAAGCCTTTTCTATTAAACACATTAAAGAATTCAAAATTTTCACAATTGAGTCAGAAATAATATATCCCCAATAGCCACAGTTAACTTTGATAATGATTTCTTTTGTATGTATGTATACATGCATTGAGCTAATGGTTCTGTAAATGTAAAATGTTTCCACTTGTCAAATTAATTTGCTTAATTTTGTAGTGCTTCACTATATTTTTATTTTCAATTTATTTTTGTGTTGATGGATGCTTACACACTAAAGTACTTCGTTAGGCCCATACTGTTTAAGTAAACTTGTGTAATTTTTTTTTCTTAATTCTTAGCCTTTTATTTCCTGTTGTATTGGTTCAGCTGGGCAAAGAACCACCACTCCTCCACCATCCCAAATCCCAGATCCACCATTTTCTTCACCCATCACCCCTCATCGGACATCATTTGGTGGAATTTTGTCATCAGCCTCCTGGGGAGGTACAATTGAAAAATCAAAATCTGTTACCAAATTAATATCAGCTGGAACCCAAGATAGTGAATGGGGATGTCCCACATCCCTGGAGGGCCAGCTAGGTTCTGTTATCATCTTCTATGAAGCACTACAGCCTCCTCATGTGAAGGCATTATATTTAGCAGGTAAGCATGTCCTGGTTTACTAGAGTTATAAAATAAAGTAATATTATAAAATTTTCTAGTGTCTGAGTATATTGTAGCAACATTTGAAAAGAGAAAATTATATTTGATCTAAAGAGTATTTTTTTTTAACAAACTCAAAAGAGAAAATGCCTACTTCATATAATCCTCTTTTTATTAGGCATAAATAAAATAAGCTGTTGTGAAAATTTTTAGGTGTCATCCAGAGTACTTCCTGGGGTTTCTATAACAAAATATCACAGATTGGGTGGCTTTAACAAGAGAAGTTTATTTTCTATTAGTTTTAGAGGCTAAAAATCAGGTATAGTGTTATAGAGCTTCTTTTCTAGAAAGGCTTCCTTCCTGGATACAGGTGGTCACCTACTTTCTGGTTATTCTCATGTGGTCTTTCCTCTGTGAGCATGTGGACAGAGAAAAGGACTGTGGTTCCTCCTTGTATTATAAGGGACCTATCAGATTACAGCTTTACCCCTTTGCCTTCTTTACTTTTTTTTTTTTATCACATTATAGGCCCTTCTTCCACATAGCATCAAACTGGAGATTATGACTTTAACATGTATATTTTAGGAGCTCAAAGTTATGTTTGTAAAGCTGCCAGTATTTTTGACAATTTTAATAAATTAGTGAAACAAAATACTTGGTTTTGTCCATAAAACATAATTTCAAAACTTTCTATTTCTATGATTGATACATTAATATACCTGAAAAATTCATGAAAATGATAAGTACTTGGAAGATATTCGATAAGATTATAAACATTTCATTTTAGTTTTTTTCTTTTTGGTATTGTTTTAAACAGTTACAATTGCTTTTGGATACAAAAATTCTATCTATATTTTATCAAGATATTCCAAACATACACTTTTAAGTATCATATATATTAACTGTACATAATGGCTCATTTTTTTCTGAAAATAACTGTCTTAGATTGTATGGCATTCTTTTTGTTGTTGTTGTTGATCATGGGGCTTGAACTCTGGGCCTGAGTGCTGTCCCTCAGCTCTTCAGCTCAAGGCTAGTGCTCTACCAGTTGAGCTACAGCGCCACTTCTGGTTTTCTGAGTGGTTTATTGGAGAAAAAAGTTTCATGGACTTTGCTGGGGCTTGCTTTGAACCGTGATCCTCAGATCTCAGCCTCCTGAGTAGCTAGAATTACAGGCATGAGCCATCAGCGCCCAGCAATTGTATGGCATTCTAAAATGAATGGATCTATCCAGATTCTCAAAGTTTAATAATCTTACAATTTTTGAAACTTATGAAGTTATTTTAGGATGTTCTATAATGGAAACAAATTCAGGTTAGTAACTAGTCATTTAATGTAATTATAAGACTGTAGTTTTTCATTATATTCTTCTATAATTATTATTTAGTCTCCCATTTTAGTGATCTTAAACATTTTTAATACATTGGCTCAGGTTTATATTTTATTATCCATATATTAATTGTACAAAAATTTTAATATTGGCATGAATTTGAATTTTAAATATAATAAACTGGACTGAATACATTTTGTATAATCAGTTTCTAAAAGGGATATATATTAATGCTAATCAATAGCAGAGATGTGCCAGTTTTGGCAAAGCCTCAGTAAGAAGGAATGGTTACCTTTTGTGAATGGAACCTTATGTGAATTTGTATTTCTTCAATTTTTCATAAACGTCAACATTTTTCTTACTCATTTGCTATTCTATTTCTCTGATACTTAATCACATTATTAATGGAACATTTTGCTATTATTTCTTATAATTTGTTTATGTTAGATAGCTTAGTAGGTAAACTTTGCTTTATTTAATAATAGTTTTGCTTGGTTGTTTTTATTATCAAATAGTTGTACAAGAGAGAGAGAGAGAGAGAGTATGTGTGTGTGTGTGTGTTGGTCTTGGGGCTTGACATTAGGGCCTTGGGTTTCACTCAAGGCTGGTACTCTATCTGATCTTCAGCCTTGCCTCCAGTTCTGGCTCTTTTGCCTGTTAATTGGAAATAAGAATCTCAGGGATTTTTCTACTTGGACTCTCTTCGAGCCTTGGTTTTCTATTAACATATCTGTTTATGTGTATAATGCTTTTTTTTCCCCGGTCCTGGGCCTTTAACGCTGGGCCTGGGCACTGTCCCTGATCTTCTTTTTGCTCAAGGCTAGCACTCTACCAGTTCAATCCCAGCTCCACTTCTGACTTTTTCTGAGTATTTATTGGAGGTAAGAGTCTCACAGATTTTTCTGCCTGGGCTGGCTTTGAACTGTGATCCTCAGATCTCAGTCTCTTGAGTAGCTAGGATTATAGGCCTCAGCCACCAGTGTCCAGTTTATAATGGAGTTTTAGAGTCAGTCTGAACTCAGGGCCTCACACTCTTATTCAGTGTGCTTCTCACTGCTGGTACTCTGAACACTTGAGCCACACTTCCACTTTAGAAGTGGAATTTGTATTTTTGCCCTCCTATTTTTAAACCATGATCGTTTGGATCCCAACTTCCTGAGTAGCTAGGATTATAGGCCTGAGCCTCTGGTTCCAACTATAGGCTTGATCAGATTTACCTCCACCTCTTCCACTTCCATCCTTCTTCCCATACCTGTCCCATTAAATTTTCTTGTTCCATTTTCAAGCATGTACATAGAGTATTTTGACTATATTCATCCTCCATTTGTCTTTCCTCCTGCTGCTAGTTTTCAGACTTCTGTCCAGACATGTTTCAACTTCCTAATATTCATTTTTATTAAAATATATGTTGTTAGTTGTTCGCAGGTATTTTACTATGGTATCTCACACACACATATACCATACATTAGTCTAATTGATCATGCACATGTATGTAACACATGTGTGTTTGCATAAATGTTTGTATTTTAGTTCTAGCATCCACATATGAGAAAAAGACCTTTTTCTTTCTGAGTCTAGCTTACTTGGCTTGATGTGATGCTTTCTTGGACTCTCTTTGAGAGTCCAAGAAAAGCAAAGTTTACCTACTAAGCTATCTAACATAAACAAATTATAAGAAATAATAGCAAAATGTTCCATTAATAATGTGATTAAGTATCAGAGAAATAAAATAGCAAATGAATAAGAAAAATGTTGACGTTTATGAAAAATTGAAGAAATACAAATTCACATAAGGTTCCATTCACAAATAACATAATTCCATTTGTCTTTATGGCTGAGTAATATTCCATTGTCAGTATCTATTTATCCATGTCTATATAATGTATGTCTGTATATGCAATGGAATATTATGAAAATGATGTTTTATATATATGTACATGTATGTGTGTATATATGTATGTGTAGTACATATTATATAATATATATAAAATGAACAATCACATATAATATGTATAATATATAATCATCATCATCATTCATTTAATCTGGGCTGCTTCTATAGCTTGCTTGTTGTGAATAGTGTTGTATTGAACATGAGTGTGCATCTTGCTTGATTTTTATCATAGTATGTTTTCTCTTGTTCTTTTTTTATTGGCATAAATTAGTTATATAGGAAGAGGATTTTGTTGCATCTCCACATGTTTACAATGTATACTAATTGATCATACTTTTTAATACTATATAAAATTTCCCTTTTACCTTGGAGGTTTATTTCCCAAATTCCTAGGTTTTGGATAAACTGGAAGCAAATAAAACTAAAGTATATTTTAGTGTGTTTTAACTATATTATCTGAGTAGCGGGAAGAGATTAATTTTAAATTTTGTACTGTTAATAGAAAAACAAGGAGTCCATATATATTCAATGATACATGTGATGTTTATAAATAATTTTCAGGTCCAAATTGTTTAAGTCCTTGGAAATGTCAAGAGTCTGATATGGCTGACCTGCCTGGTAACATCCTTCTTCACTACACAGCAAAGGTCAGAGTAAATGCACAGACGTCTAGTCAACATAGTTAGAACTGCTGTGAATTTCAGTTCATTGGCAATTGTTTTTTGTCACTTCATTGGTTAGTTGAGAAGGAAGGAACAAAAATTAAGATTTACCTCAACTTATTGAAATGCTATAATTATGTAATTCTAGTAGTATGAGTAGGAATAGTTATGTTGGAACTTGTACTAATGAATTGACTGTAGTAAATGAAACTAAGATTGTATTTACTTAGGTTTCTAGATGATAAGAAAAACAGAACTGTGCTTAAAATTGTGTTTGTTTTTATAGAAAACTATACTCTTGCAAGTATTTTCTAAGCAGCCACGTGCCAGTGGTTTGTTGAAACATGTAATCCTAGCTCCTCAGGGCTGAGATCCAGAGGATACAGTTCACAAGGATACAGCCTGGGCAGAAAGTCCACAAGACTCCATCTCCAGTAAAACATTTGGCTGGAGGTGTGGCTCAGATGGTAGAGTGCCAGCTGTGAGCAAGAAAACCAAACAAGTACAAAGTCCTGAATTCAAACTCTAGTACGAGAAAAAAGAAAAAAAATATTCCTTAAGTAAGAAAAACTTTTTTTTTTTTTTTTTGGGTCCAGTAGTGGGGCCTGAACTCTGGGCCTGGGCACTGTCCCTCAGCTCTTCAGCTCAAGGCTAGCGCTCTACCACTTGAGCCACA